TTTTTCCTTTTGGTACCTCTTTCTGATCTATATGAGGATGACAGTATCTTTTGTGCACTCTCCTAACTGTATGTGTAGTAACAGTGAGGCCCATGTAACATGAGGCCCTTGTAACCTTCAGTGTTTTACAATCTTGGCCTGGAGAAGTGAAAGTGAAGTTGAAGGAATTGCTCCTTCTTCCCTTATGCACCCTGGGCTCTTCTGCCCTGCACCTTTGCTCAGGTTTTCTCCCGTATCTGGAATACCCTTCTTTCCCCTCCCTTTGGCTGTCTCTGAGCTGGTAACTTCAAAGTGCAGTATGTTGCATAGTAATTTCCTCATATTCATAGTTCATTTGTTATATACATACTGTTTTCATGTTGTTCTTAATGATTCCCTTAATGTCTTCTAAAAATTTTTTTCCTTAATTTAAGGTATGATTACTTAGAGTCCTAACTCCCCTTTCCTTTAGGATTAATCAGTTGTTTAAAGTGGAACTTTATGTATGAAAAGCGTAATGTAAACTTGTTGTCATTGTTATAATGGTAATGATTATCACATCTCAATTAATACCATCTGTTTCATCCTTATTTTTTGTTGTGTGGTTCTTAGGTTCAGAATTTAACATTACGCAGCCAGAAGTTGGGTGTATTATCTAGCTCACAGAACGGTCCGCCAAAAAGCACTAGTCAAACTCAGTCATTGACAATTTGTCATAACAAAACAACAGTGACCAGTTCTAAAATCAGCCAACGAGATCCTTCTCCAGAAAGTAATAAGAAAGGAGAAAGTCCAAGTCTGGAATCACGCAGCACAGCTGTCACTCGGACATCAAGTATTCACCAGTTAATAGCACCAGGTAGGATAAAACTTGTTGAAAGTAGTTGCATTATTCATACAAAAGATGTCTATTACTTGAACAAGAACAATGCTTTTAAAACATTTTAAAATGTGAATTTCATGAGTTTACAAAAAGTCAGTATTGTAGCTTGAAAAAAGGGAAACCAAAAGAGCCCAACAGCTAAAACAAATTACAATAATAAACTTTTTTGGTCAGTTAACATTTGATTAACATCTTCATTGTGTGCTGGTCTCCCATTATACTAGTAAAACCAATAGCTTTTATTTTTTATTTATTTGATTAAAAAAAATTTTTAACTCTTCTATGGTTAAAGTATAGTGTTATATTAGTTTCAGGTGTACAGTGTAGTGATTCGACAATTCTCTTTATTACTGCTTATCAAGATAAGCATACTCTTAATCTCCATCACCTATTTCACTCATCCCCCAATCCACTCCCTTCTGGTAAACCCTTTGTTCACTGTAGTTAAGAATCTGTTTTTTTGTTTTTTTTTCCTTGTTCATTTGTTTCTTAAACTCTACATGTGAAGAATTCATATGGTAGTTGTCTTTCTCTTGTTTCACTTAACATTAAATTCTCTAGCTCTATATATGTTGTTGCAAATGGCAAGATTTAATTCTTTTTGATGGCTGAGTAATATTCCATTGTATATATCTACACATCTTTATCCATTCATCTATGGATGGACACTTGGGCTGCGTCCATAATTTGGCTATTGTAAATAATGCTGCAAAAACAGGGGTGCATGTATCCTTTTGAATTAGTGTTTTCATATTCTTTGGGTAAATACTCATTGGTGTAATTACTGGATTGTAGGAGAGTTCTATTTTTAATTTTTTGAGGAACCTCCATCGTGTTTTCCACAGTGGCTGCACCAGTTTACATTGCTGTCAACAGTGCAAGAGGGTTCCTTTTTCTCCACATCCTGTCAGTGCTTGTTATTATAAAACCTTCTAGCTTTAAAGAAAAAAAAAAAAAAGATTTGCCTATAGTTTATTTAATATGCTTTAGTGGAACAAAATTAAAACCTCTAAAAAAAAAAGCACACATATTTTTTGTTTAAAGTTGTCATTAGTGAGTGGAGTTTACCACTTTCCAAAACTAAGGATTTTGTGTAATTATTTCCCTTACCATGTTGCTTTTTTTCCATCTTTTATTTCATTTCTGAGAGGAAGATGTCAGGCAGTCAGTTAAGTCATTTTGATTCTCATCAACCTTTGAAACCTTCTGCTGTCCACAGATAACTGTTTCACGGTTCTCATGCTGAAAATGTTGGGGCCATCCAGCATGAGTTTCCTTACCATCTCTTCTATTCATCTCAGAATTTCTCAGTGTTGAGCTTTGTTCACTTATAGTAAGATAAGGAGTTATCTGCTTCCTACTTTAAAGTTAACACTGATTGTGTCATTGATTTGCATCTTTTTTTTTTTTTTTTTTTTTTTTTTTTTTTTTTTTTTTACCAGCACCTGACTTTTTCTTGTAGTTGTTACAGCATCTTTTGTTTCCCTCATGCTGGATCCTTTCCTTTGCTTCTCATGCATACTTAGATTTCTCCTATATAACATAGCTTTTTTTTTAACGTTTATTTATTTTTGGGACAGAGAGATACAGAGCATGAACGGGGGAGGGGCAGAGAGAGAGGGAGACACAGAATCGGAAACAGGCTCCAGGCTCCGAGCCATCAGCCCAGAGCCGACGCGGGGCTCGAACTCACAAACCGCGAGATCGTGACCTGGCTGAAGTCGGACGCTTAACCGACTGCGCCACCCAGGCGCCCCAGATTTCTCCTATATATATCTGCATATGTTATTTCAATAGCTATTTCAACTATTGTTTATTGAAAGTATGTGTGTGTGTCATTCACTGGGCTAGACATCACATATGTTTCATTAAAAATCCTCCTGGGGCACCTGGGTGGCTCAGTCAGTTGAGTGTCTGACTTTCGGTTTTGGCTCAGTTCATGATCTCATGGTTTATGGGTTCAAGCCCCTTGCACGCTCTGTGCTGACAGCTCAGGATCCACTTGGGATTCTCCTTCACTCTCTCTCTCTGCCCTTCCCCTGTGTGCTCATGCCTACTCTCTCTCTCTCTTTCAAAATAAATAAATTTAAAAAAAGTTATTTCTAATAAATATCTTTCTCAAAATAAGTAAATAAACTTAAAAAACCCCTCCTTTGATCCAGCTTCATCAAGTAAGCGTCTTCTTTCTTTTTAAAACTCTGCATTACTTCTTAAAGATTAATTTTATATTACTGAAGTCTCCTTTTTCTCCACCTAAACCTATTTCTCTTACATCTTTCCTCTGTGTTAATATTGCCAGCATCCGCAGCACCCAACCTCAGTGTCTTGTAATTGTTTGATTCCCCTAGTTAGAAATCTCTCATCACTTTGAACTTGTATAGCATTTTTATGCTTCTTCATGGTCCTTTTTCTTTTATAGTTATTGATATACTTAGCTTTTCCCTAGATAGTAAGCTCTTTGAGAGTAAGATAATAATATTGAGCACTTACATGTCAAGTACTTTACAATTATTAACTCCTTTAATCCTTTTTCAGATTCACCTTTTCATCCCTTAATCTTAACAGCGATAAATTGTACCTTATAAACACTTTCTACAATAGATGGACAGTAAATATTTGTTGGATTAATAGTTGATTTTTTTTCCCTTTGAATTTTGGAAATTAAGTACAGGCTTTGTTATAATGTATAAATTAATAAATCCATTCATAGTGTAGTGTGGTGTGAATTCTTTTTTATAAACATATGTGTGCTTAGGTACTGTTCTCTGTATGGCTTGATAACAGGATTTTTGCATTGTACTGTCCAGAGTATTTTCAGCCTCAAACCAGCCTCTGGCCAGTGTTGATAGAGGAGTCAGTGTGGACAAGCAGTGACCCACTGCACTTGAAATGACTGCTTAGGAGACAGTTTTTAGTGACTCTTACAGTTATGATAGATTATGAAGGGTGGGTTAGTTTACTGCCAAAGAGAATGCTACCTTCAAAGAAAGCTAGGACCTCTTTCAGGGTGAGTTCAAGCAAGGAGATCTACTTTTAGATTTTCAGTCCTACTGAACTCCCAATACCTGGTTCTTTTTTTTTTTTTTTTTTTTTTTTTTTTTTTTTTTTTTTAAGTTTATTTATTTTGAGAGGGGAGGGGGGGGCAGAGAGAGAGAGAGAATGAATGCCAAGCAGGCTCTGCACTGTCATTGTGGAGCCTGATGTGGGACTTGAACTCACAAACCCCTGAGATCATTACCTGAGCTGAAATCAAGAGTCCCAATACCTGGTTCTAAGTTGACAGTTACTCTTCCCCTTTTTTTTCATTGATAGTGTGATAGTATCCCTATAGTTGCCTTCCTTTGATAGCCAGTATTTTATGTGGGTATGGAGGAGACAGGTAGGGTAAAACCATCAGAGTCTCAGGACAATTCAATTCCAAATTTAGATCTCTTAACGTGTACTAACCAAACTCCAGTTTCCCATGGTGTTGTTGATTAGAAACAAAACCAATGAAACACCCTCAGCCACAAAAACCTTTGCAGCTGCTAAACTTATAAATTCATTCAAGCCTTACACTGCAGTTATGCAAGGTAATTTATATCTTCTGTCTAGGAAACAACTGTATTTTTCCACTCTTAGTTTTTCTGCACTTGTTGGTGGGAAGTTAGTCTGAAATGAAGATTTTTTTTCTTTTTTGAGATTCTTGAATTGGTCATTTGTCTTTTTCCTTAGAAAAATGCTTATTCCTATAAGTTGCTTTCAAATATGAGAAAAATCTACTGGTGTCCTAATGCAGTATAGACTAATAATTATTATAATGGACATGGTTATTATTTCTTTATATTTATTTCTAGGGTGCTAAAATCATTTGATTTTTTCCGTCATTTTTTTAAATTAAAAAAAAAAATTAAGTTTATTTTTGAGAGAGAGACAGAGAGTGAGTACGGGAGGGCAGAGAGAGAGAGGGATAGAGGAAATCCCAAGCAGACTCTGTACTGTCAGCACAGAGCTGGATATGGGGCTCAAACTCACAAACCGTGAGATCATGACCTGAGTCGAAATCTAGTGAGACGCTTAACTGACTGAGCCACCCAGGCACCCCTCATCATTTCTTTTTGAATGTGTAGTTCTCACTTCATAGTTAATGTATTTTTAATATATAAAATAAAGGTGAACAACAACCACATATCTGGATATTATCATGAACTCTATTCGAGTTCAAGTCTTTATAGCAGTTTTTAGAGCTTTTAGTCTAGAGCTTTTATTCCAAACAAAATTTTCTAAACAAAATCAGTTTAGTTGGAAAAAATATATACCACTTTCTGTAGACATGAATTTAATAGGTAGTGAAAAGCCTATGCTAGTCTGCTCAGGCTGCCATAAAGGATACCATGGACTAGGTGGCTTAAACAACAGAAAATTATTTTCTTACAGTTCTGGAGGCTGGAAAACCCAAGGTCAAGGTCTGGCAGTGTTTGGTTTTTGGTGAGAGCTCTCCTCCTGGCTTGCAGATGACTGCCTTCTTGCTGTGTCCTCACATGGCCTTTCATCTGAGTGCCAGGAGAGAGGATATTGAGCTTTCTGATGTTGATGTATACTCTTGTAAAGATTCTACCCTTCTGACCTCATTCAGCTTTTTTTTTTTTAATTTTTTTTTCAACGTTTTTTATTTATTTTTGGGACAGAGAGAGAGCATGAACAGGGGAGGGGCAGAGAGAGAGGGAGACACAGAATTGGAAACAGGCTCCAGGCTCTGAGCCATCAGCCCAGAGCCCGACGCGGGGCTCGAACCCACGGACCGCGAGATCGTGACCTGGCTGAAGTCAGACGCTTAACCGACTGCGCCACCCAGGCGCCCCTAAACTTTAATTACTTCCTTAGAGGCCCCATTACCAAATACAGTCACATTAGGGGTTAGGGTCTCAACATATGCATTTTTGGGGACAAAAACATTCAGTCCATAAGAGGAACCCAGACTCAGCTAGGGCTATGGGTTCTTTTAGACCCAGTGCTGCCCCATTAATAGCCAGCTGATTTCAGGTAGTGCACTTAACTGCCCAGTTTCTTCATCTGTAATATATTGGATTATCATAGTACCCTGTTTGCCTCATGGGGTTGCTATAACTATTTAATAAAATAATATGTTTAATAATTTACAATAACGTGTAATTGTTGGGGTGCCTGGGTGGCTCAGTCGGTTAAGCATCCGACTTCAGCTCAGGTCATGATCTCACAGTTCATGAGTTTGAGCCCCGCA